CTGGCGGCTGAGGCTACCACTCAGTTAACCATTCACATGCACACACACTCACACTCTTGGGTTCAGAATCTTTCTTTTGGACACGCAAACTGGATGAGCTGGGGATTGAAACGTCAATTAGTGTACGGCTTGCTCTACCTCCTGACCCACAGCCACTACGCCACAACGTCTGCTGTCACATGTTAACAGGGAAACCAGATGACCTGTAACATTAATAAAGGAACAAAACTATTAGCATCAAAATATGAAAGTGCCCTAAAGTGAAAGTATTGATCATACAAATGGTTTGTTTCAGAATCAAATATTATATTATTAGAAAATAATTAATTTATTATTATTAACATGATTAATGTATTCATCACTTTAATGTGACAGCTGGTAAAGGTGAAGCTCATCTTGATCACCCACTAAACTGCCAGGTGGCTTAATCTATAATAACACATCATCATTTATTATCTGAATTACTTGTGTTAATCTGCAAAGTAACTACAGATGTAGTTACAAAAAAAGTACAATATTTGCCTGCAATATGGTAGATTAGGAGTATAAAGTATGAAAATGGAAATACTCGAGTAAAGTAAGAATACTTAGTTACATTGCACCACTTACAAAATCCTACAGCAGTCGGAAAGTATGTTACCATTTAAGATGACCATATTTGGTTCGTAAATTCAAGTGTTAAAATGAGAAATACAATATATCTTACAACAAACCTAGTAAATAGTCATGTTTATTATTTCTGTTAATTTTTTTTTTTTTTTTTGCATTTGTTAGATGCTATTTCTTTTTTTTATAGATGTAGGCCTATTTATCATTTAATCCAGTTTTCTATCATTTACATTGTCATTTAAGTTTAAACAGAATGCACCATTTAATTAGCCTATATATGAATCCAAACCAAGAAATCAGGTCATTTGCTATGATGTAGGCATCATTAGGTTGTAAAAAATAAACATAATAATAATAGTGGTAATAATAATGATAATAATAATAGTTATAGTAACTACATGAATAAAAAAAGTCATAGTATCTTGGGCATCTATGTCATTAGGGCCCGCATAATTTGTTTGATCGCGTGGAAATCTGGGCAATTTAAAGATAAAATACAATGCAGTGTCACTGCATAACAGAGAACAGCCGTCTATGAGGCATCACGATTCTATAGTCAGATCCTTCTCCACAGCTCCCCCTCGCATCACATTATGGGCACTTCTTGCTCCAAAATAAAAACAAGATAGTGATGCCTGAAAGTCCAAACTCAGCTTCAGAACAGGAGTCCACAAGCCAGTGGGTGACATCATACTGGCTACGTCCATTACCTTAGACAGTCTATGGCAACAGCACATCATTGAATTGAACACAAAAATTAGCATCAAAAACTAATTGCTGTGCAGTGTTATCACATACAAAACAATCATAATTGTCAATATCCAGTTTGATTGTTTTACTCAGGTTCATTTTCTTTCTTAGCTATCAGCATATTTCTTTTCGTATAGCATATAGCTCACTCATAATTCAACTTGGCCTGTCATCGTTTCAAGGATGCAAATCTGTCTATGACCTTGTTCTAAAAACTGTGAATACATTTTAAGAGTCTCTTTTCAATCGACAAAATAGTGAGCGTATTAATATGTTTATTGGACATAGAGGTTCGGAGAAATGCTTTTATCCTTTTCAAGGCAGAGAAACCTCTCTTAGCCTCCGATGTTTTCATGGGGGTTGTGATCTGAATTTGAAGGAGGTGGATTGTCTCTAAGAAGGTTAGCTGGAGGTTGTTGTCCACTATGAGGTAGAGTAGAGCTCCACTATAGACACTGAACTCCTCTCTGTTGAAGATAAGAGAGAGCTCAGTGTGCAGTTTCACCTTGGTTATCATTGGATACGCGTCAGCTGTGCAATTGAGAGCTGTGGGAGCTGCTTTTTGAGTCTCACTTTCAACAATGTGGCTCTTTGAAGATGTCCTGTGAATCCAAATTGCTCCCTGATATAGGCCATAACAATGTTGTACACCTCAGTGGCAGTCTGGCCATAGGTTTCCAGGTCAGGCCATCTTCACAGTCAGGAGGCCACTGTGAGGGGATGCTGTGTGCTCTCTTTGCACAAGACTGGAACAAATTCTTCACAAACACTGTATGTTGTCAACAAAGGTTTTCAGCACACCTGGGATGTACACCATGTCAATATCTATTTTCTGCAGCTGGCAGAAACAGAGTGAAACAAAGCCAAGAAGAAGATAAATTCCCAGTCTTCTAAGAATTGCAGTAATCTATCTAGATCTCGCTCAGTATTCGCATCGAACTGCGGCTGCCCAGTATTCATACTGTAGAAAGCACTTAATTAAATCTTCTCTGTCTTCATGAACATCATTGACAGCCTGGACTGGAAGTTACAGCGAGTTGGAGCTGCTTTTGGAAGTCTGCAGTGTGCCACATCATCCAGCCCAGTTGTCCTCTTGAGGGTGTAAGGAAAAAAGTTAAAAAATTAACTCAATTTGGTGGAAAAACAAAACAGCGCACTCTTTGGATCTGGTGAGCTACTTGCTGTATGACTAGATTTAATTGGTGCACATGTCCATACTGGGCAAATTATTCACATCTGGTATCGCCTCACACACACCAATGGATTCTTGTCCGCCGTCATACGTCTGGGCTATTAGTTTGTCATATCTCCTCTGCTGGCAAAATTTCTTATAACAGGTCAAGAAAAGATGTAGCAACAGTCTCTACATTGAGAGTGTTTCATAGACTGTACATAAAGATGGACGAACTGTCTCCACTTCCTTCCACTGTACAAAAATTAAGACAAACTTTTCTGGATATGGATGCTGTCATCTTGCACCAGTGATGTCATTTTGAGCCAGAGTCTGCGCAGCAGTGACCTTCGCAGAATAGAGTTCCCACCCATTTACCTGTCCAACCAATCGCAAGCAGGGCCATTAATCACAAGCACACCAACTGGCCCAGTTAGCTGTCTGTCATGACATCAAATCCTCTTTTGTAGTATCAAATAACTAATTAAAAGTTATCAGAAAGACAGAATTTAACCTTGTAAATTCAATTGACATGTACTTTGATTTTTTTGTTTGGCCCATGTTCCATTTGCTAACATAAAGAGGGTGCGCTTTATGACCTATACATAAGCCAGTCACCAGGGGATGATTGAAATGTTTTTGCTTCACTTCTGGGGAGCTGTCATGATGGTATATGAGAGTGAAGCTGTAAAGGTGCTCCTGAACCTGATGGGCACTGTCTATGTGACACAGGACAAGCACTAACTGAAACTGTTGCGACACATCAATAGTTTCTTCCTGAATGGCTGAAGAGTTCATGTTTTTGATCTCCTCTGCTTTGTGCTCAATCGTAATCGCCAGCATACAACCAAGCACATCGTCAAATTCAGTTGCAAACACCACCAGTCCATTAAAAATCCCAGGGTTCGCCATGTAACAGCTCTCATTGTGGCCACTTAATGCAAAATCATATGACACAGTCAATAATATATGAATGTACACCTCTGTTACTGCTAAGTGATGCCAACCCATAGCTGTCGCTAAGCTGGCTAGCAGTGTTTGAGTTTCATTGGGTTTTCCATTTGAGTTTTGCTTTCTTAATCTTTTTTTACTTTTTCGGAAAATTTGTCCCATGTCTGTCCAACTTTGTCAGATGTGGGTCTCCGAAACAGCAGGCATTGGTCACGTCCAGAAGGCTGCTAATATTCAAGTTCTTTGGCTGGTCCTGTCCAATTTTTCACTGTGAGCTTTTGTGATAATGTCCTCCAGTTTTGAGCAGTCAATCAGTTCTGTTTTCAGCAAATAATTGTTCATCTATATTAGCCATTGCTGAACTGACTACTAGCTGGTCTGACCAGCTATAAACCGACAGGTGCACCTCTGGTCAAATAGTCCTCTAGTTACTTAAGTGTTGCCAAGTAGCTTTAAAAACATCACTATTAGCCAATGATATGAATATTGAAAAAAAAATGTTTTTTTTTAATAAGAAAAATGTCTGTACTATGATAAACCAGGCTAAAATTTTGTCAACCTACCCAAGTTATTTTTTACATAATCCATCCCAAAGCCACTCAACTGCACAGAGAACATAAAATGTACCGCCCCAGATCCAGTTACTTTGCAAGTGGTGTCAACCAATTACCACCATTAGAAAAATAAGCCCTTTCTGTATGCATGATTTATGTGAAATGATTTTCACACAATAATAAAAAAAAAAAAGATTTTTCATTAAAATATGCATTTCACAATTGGAATTGCAGGACGGGTGACACCCTAGCACCCTTTATGGACCCCATGGTACTGATGAAAGCCATGGACACGTGCCTGTGAGCTAACATGAGTGTGAAAAGCTGAATTTTGGGAATCATAGTTCTCAGCTTTAACCTAGGGCACTGAGTAAGAATTGAATAGACATGTGGTTATGTGGTTAATCCACTTTTAGCAACTGAAAGTTGTATTCTGACTTCAAATTTAGGCATGTCTGATAAAAAGCTGAAAACTAAAATTGTTTTTGAAGATGTGTGCTTGAACCTGCAAATACTGTTTTCATTCTTTAAAATAGATTTTAAAACCGATTTTTCAAAACCTATTCTCTGTTCCTGTTTTTTCAGTTGTGTATTGTCCTAGTTTTATATCTTGAAATGTTTTGCTCTGTAAAGCACCTGGTAAACTGTTCTCTTTTAGCTTAGTAGTTGTAATAGTGGAATTACAAATCGAAAATGAATGGTGGAGTAACGCTTCAATCAAATCTAACTGTTCTTTTCTCCCATCCAGCTCGATTTGTTTGCCTTTCAGTTGAGGGAGAACACAAATCCCCTATGATGTGGCTTCAATTTATTCACTACAAAGCACAAAAAGCTTCCGTGCTTTTTCGCTATGCTCTCTCATTTACACTTGATACAAACAACATCCTCCCACATTTGCTGTCAATTCAAAAGTAATTAACGGGGCTTGTTGACTATTTGAATAGCTGTTCCACAGAGAGACTCACATCTTTTTGAAGTCACACACAGCGTATTCGGGCCAGTCGATGTAGCACACTACCCGGCCGGGAAGCTGGTCCGTGTTGGAGAAGTAGTACTGAGGGAAGGCCAGGAGGAGAGCCAGCACCCAGATCACTCCCACCACCACCTTGGTCTCTGTGGACGACATGCGCTGTTGCAGAGGGTGGATGATGGCCATGTACCTGCAGGGGCAAAGGGGAGAAGATATGATAATAATAAACAACAGCTGAGTACTGATTCCAGACCTAGGTAGAAGTTGCATATTAGTCACACCACCTTTGTTGTACTGCAGTTTGTATGATCACCTTTTGCTCTTTGGTTTATTAGCACTTTCTTGCCATGGTAAGCAGTAGGCTGACTTCATACCAGTGAAAATGTTTGGAATTAATTTTGACCTTCTGGACACAAAATGTCATCACTTCATTATTTTATCCTATTAGACATTTGTGTAAAGTTTTGTCATAACTAGCGTATGAGGTCACACTAACCTTGACCTATGACCTTTGGCCACAGAATTCTAATCAGTTTATTCTTCAGTCCAAGTTGACGTTTGTGCTAAATTTGAAGAACTTCCCTCAGGGTGTTCTTGAGATATCGTGTCCATGAAAATGAGACAGATGCAGGATCACACTGATGTTGACCTTTGACCACCGAAATCCAATCAGTTCATTGTTGAGTCCAAGTGGACCTTTGTGTCAAACTGAAAGAAATTCCCTTTAAGTGTTCTTTATTTATCGTGTTCATGAGAATGAGATAGACAAGGTCACAGTGACCTTGACCTATGACCACCAAAAATGTATCAGTTTATTGCTGAGTCCAAGTGGACCTTTGTGTCAAATTTGAGAAAATTCCCTTGAGGCGTTCTTGAGATATCTTGTTCACAAGGATGGGGCAGGTACAGACCTAAATACGGACGGACAACCCAAAAACATAATGCCTCCAGCCAAGGCTATCAGCGGCGTGGAGGCTTAAAAACTTTATGATGCATGAAGCTACAGCCAGCAGCTGGTTAGCTTAGCGTAACATAAAGACTGGAGACAGGGAAACATCTAGCCTGGCTCTCCCCAGAGGTACAATTCACCCGACCAAGGAAGAGTCCATTTTATGCTCCTGTTTAAACAAACCAGACATGACATGTAAATTGTTGAGCTTTAGAGGCACTACTAGATTTTGTTACCTTTCAACATAGCCAGGCTAGCTGTTTCCCCCTGTTTCCTGTCTTTATTCTATGCTAAGCTGATCTAATTGGCTGCTGGTGGTAGTGTTATATCATGGTCTTGTTTTTGTGTGTCTTTAACAAATGAAATATAGTCTAAGAAATTGTTGAGCTTAAGAGATGCTTGCAGATTTTGTTACTCTTCAACAAAGCCATGCTAGCTGTTTCCCTCATTTTTTTGTCTTGAGCTAAGCTAATCTAAATGGCTGCTTCTAGTTGCATTATATTCGTTGCACAGGCATGAAAGTGAGATTGATCCTCTCATCTAACAAATGTTGACTTACTATATGTGATGGTATTATGGCAATATTTGGCATTGACCATTTAAGCTTAAAGTGATGACTTTTAGCTTTATGGTGCTTACATCAATATTTGGTGAACACATTTAAGATGATGCAGCAAGGCAATGGCTGCAGTGATTGATCATGTCAGTCGTCTCTACCTGTTGAAGACCAGACTAAAATCAAAATCCTATGAAAACAAGCATGCCATCTGGCTGTCTGCAGTGCAGGTCTGGCAAAACAAACAGTGAAGATACCAAGGGTCTGCTCATGTCTGTGACTCAGAGCCCTCAGGTCCTCACTGACTGCAAGGGATTTGACACTAAATATTTAATATGATGTCTTATTCAAATTCATTAAAACTTGATGATTAACCTTGTGTCCCCTAAAATGCAGAGATAATGAATAAGAAGGACTTTTCTCTGTTGACATGGATGTCAACACCCCCAGCCAACAATTTAACCATATTGTCACAGTTTCAGTACAAAGCCAACACAACAAATTGTGTGATTGTTTAAATGATTTCTCACTGCATTGTACATGAGAACAGTCTTTGAAGTAGTAGGTCTAAATATAGCATTAATTAATGTTGTTCAGAGAGACAGAATTTGTTTTCTTGAGTGTATTTTTTTCCTTATGGTGGTCATTGGCTTACTCACTTTACAGTAGACAATGTTAAATTCACACGGATATTAGTCATCTGATTTGAAAAATATGACTCCAATCTGTTACAGTAACTGTAGTTTTGAGGGAACTGTTGCCAGATCACACTTAGACTGCTCACAAATCCATTATATTGAAATATTAAATCTATAAGCCAAAAGTACACATTATAAATCATCTCTAACCAAATAAATCTGATTTGTGTTAGTGTGTTTGATTGTTCACTTAAAGGCAGACTGGAGGAGAGGATAACACGTTGTACATATGGAGGATTTATTGTTCAGTGTGCGATCACAAGTTATTTTGGTCCTTGATGTAGGCAAAGTGTAAACAGTGATCATTTGTGTAAGACTCAGAAACTGAAAATAGAGCCCCTGCAGTGTGACTCAAACTTCACACTGAAACACAACCTGCAGGATATGAGAATTCACACACACTCACCCGTGCATCAGAAACATTTAAAAGGAGGCTTGTTTTTTTAAGTTTACAGCTCAGACAACATGGTAAGATTTGATTTTCCAAATATCATATTATTATTATTTAGATAAACGTGAGATAAACCAACACATTTATATTACAAAGAGTGTGTGCTATGAAGTAGACTATATCTATGAAGTAGACTATATCTATGATCAAATGATTCCCATCAGCGTTCGAGTAATCATATCACAATGTCATAATCAGGTTCCTAATCAGAGAGGGGACCCAAGGCATGAATAACTTAAAATGATCTTGTACACCATTAACGCAGAGTCTGATCAGGAAATGGATTTAAAACACTTTGGCTAGTTGAATCCATTTCCTCAGTAATAATACAATATTTCAGGGTGTGAGGAGAAAATGCAGTACTTCACCTAAGTGCCTTTGTTGCTAACAGCAGATTTTTTTATTTAAGTTTAACAGAAATTTGTCTGTATTGATTTGCTTTCATTTAAATTCTTTAAACATTATTTGTTCTTCCTAATTACACAATAACCTGGAAGCTATATATCCAGTAAAGTGATGTCTGATTTAACATCATTTCTTACAGACACATTTTCCATTTCTATATGTGTATATAAAAAGCACTGAACTTACATACTGTCATGCTCGACTGTATACAGTCTGAAAACATGTACTGTATACTGCAGTCAAATCAGTGTTAATATTTTTGTTGGCTTCCCTTAAAGCAAAACTCTTCAGTGAAATGCCATCCTGAGCCATAGATGTCTAATTAAAGGCTTAATCCTGCTAATAACCCAAATGAATCTGCTAAATGGACGTTCTCCCTCTAATTATATCAGAGACAAGAGGAGGCCTTTGAAATCAAACACTCCCAGCAGTCTGCTGAAAATGGAAGAGCACAGCCTTGGCTTTACTTTGGCTTTCAAACAGCGCTGGCAGCCATGTGGCTTTTCTTCTTGTAGGTGAGTCACAGTTGGGCTGTTGATGTCAGAATCAAACACACACCTGCAGAGGACCGTGCTTTGCTTGCTTCACAGCCCAAATCATCATCACCCCTGCTGGCATGTATGCAAGCACTGGGCTCAGATTTAGTGTATCCTCTACACCAGAGCAGACAACAGTAAAGGTTCAGTCATTGTAATGGGCTTTCAATCTGCCATGACTGAAGACTAAAGTTTATCAAGAAAAATGAAAGAATCTAGACTGTTTGTGTGGGTTTGAAAGGGAACTGCCCATTGGTTCGACATCCCATTGTTCCGACCATATTAAACCCATTGTTCCGAAGTCTGTTCCGAAATCATCATGATGCCCTGTGGTTAAGGTCTGGTTAGGTTTAGGCACAAAAATCACTTGGTTAGGGTCAGGAAAAGATCATGGTGTGGGTTAAAATGAAAAAGAAAGTGACAAACACATAAGCCGTGAGCCTGCTCTGCCTCAAGCCGGTCGCGGTGCACCATACGCCCGCTGCGAGCCGTTCAGCACCGCGGACAGTCGGACTAATGGGATGTCGAACCAATGGGCTGTCGAACCAATGACATGGACCCGGTTTGAAATGGGTTTAAAGAGATATGTTTCAGAAAAGGAACACAGAAACGCTGATGCTTGAGGAAACGCAAAACTGTCCTATTACTAAGAGATGTTCACTGCTTTGCACCAGCAAAATATGTTTGGGTTGGGATTTGATAGGAATGATCAAATCTGAATCCAGTACCGACTGAATCCAAAATGGATACCATTTTCATACTGTGAATATGTAGCCACAGCCAGCAGTCGGTTAGCCTAGCTTAGCATATAGACTGACATTGGGGAAATGGTCTCTGTCCAGAGGAAACATAATGTGCCCAGCAGCACCTCTAAATCTTACTAATTAGCATGTTATATTTTGTTTATTTACTCTGCGAAGATAACCAAAGCGTAAAAACTACACTTAACTGTTTTATCAGATCCAAAATGTTGGACCTGATCTGAAACAGACTTGTCTAAAACCAACACCAGCATGATATAATTACAATTAACATGCAGCCACACTTGAAAAAAGCAAAAATATAATAGTGTCTTAAGAATTAAAGTTAAGTCATTGAAACTAATCTGAAAACAATTTGTTATGTTTCAAAGACCAATTTACAGAAATAATAGAAGCCAGAATTACCACCTCTCAGTTGTATGCCTCTGCAGACCAGTTAAGTTGCAGTTACAGTTTACACCTTTGTCTGTCCAGAATCATACGTAGCTATGACAGCAGACAATGCTTCAAATTTGCATTTTGCTGCAAAGAAGCTACATATTCTAAAGTGTGGATGCTTCACACACATCTTCAACCTGTCAAAACAGAAGAGCTATACAATCTGCAAAATTTTAAGGTGGACACCAAAGATTAGTGTCACCAATTCAGTATCTGACCAAATGTCTCCCCGAAAAGAACCTTTGGCCTTTTGGATATAAAATGTCCTCCCTTCATCATTTTATCCTGTTAGACATTTGACCTTTTACCCTCAGCCACCAAATTCTAATCATTTCATTCTTGAGTCCAGGTGGATATTTGTGCCAAATTTGAGGAATCTTCCTCAAGGCCTTCTGG